AGACAAAAGATCAACCAACCTATCAATACGGCGATTAACGATGAGCCTCCAGCTGTGCCTGTGAGTAAAGATGCCAAGGTTATCCTTTACCAAGAGTTGTGTGGTCTGCTTCGTACAAAAGAGACTGTACTACAGGCAATTAAAAGAATGGGTTCCGGATCTAAAGCACATAAATCCGGGTCTGCCAGTCAACGTTGGTTGAAAAAGAAACAACAGAGAGATTCACCCCCCAGCGAGGAGTAAGTTCTTTTGGTTTTGTATCTCAAGCACTTTTCTGAACCTTACCAAAGTAAAGGAAGTGTCTTTCTTTTTGCAACTCACAACAAAAGTTTGAGGTATTCCCCATTCGAAAAGCCTCGGTATGGTTGGACGGCCATCTTAGGTTGTTGCTGTTTACCCTTCATTTTCGCTTCTCGAATGACTTCTGTACCACGAAACATCTCAACTAGTATCGACTACGGGAGCCTTATTCATTGCCTGCATGTAGCTACGTTATTTTCTTATCTCGTTGAGAGGACGAAAACCCACCAATCGGCGAACCACCAGCCTTTCATGTAGCTGGCAAAAACCGTACTTCCGACCCAGCTAAGAAGCTTACATATTACACTCCCCTGGTTGTGGCAGTAGTCACCGAACTTGAATGGGTATCAAGACCCACTGGATGCTTTAACCCGTCCGAGTAAACTATGGTCCGATAAAGTGGACACCGGCCTCCGATTAACTGCGGACCCTGAGCTCCATCCTGTTGTCTTGCAGATCTGGCTTTCCAGCCAGATGCTTTGAATGGGGATCTTGCGCTTATCCTCTTTCTACGACCAGAACAACCGGGAAGAAACAACTTACGGGTACATTCTACGGAAAACCAAAGTTTGCTCCCATACACAAACTGTTCTTCGACCGAGATGTTGGTGGTCGATTCCATCGAGTCCCATATCACTGCACGAATGGATCACATTCGTTCCTTTCCACAGTTGTTCAACTTTTCTATTCTCCGTTCACCACTTACTATTTCGAGTTTCCAATAGTGTATTGCACAAGGCAAGAGAGCCGCAACCTTGATTGTACGCGAAAAAAGCATGCGCCCTATAAGTAACCACTGGTCGCACCTCTAGTCATCCATATCAGGTTTCTGTTCCCAGATGTCGTACCTCTTTGCTCCAATCTTTTTTCTCCCGAACGTTTAACCGTGAAACCCCCTACCATTTGCTGTCCCCCCCCCCCTAACTTACAATCTTACACTGTTAAACGCAGAATCAATAAACTGGATCTTGCGTGAATGTTCCCATAAGCTCCCTTTTACAGTACGCCATTTGTCCATGGGGATTTACCCTTTTACTATAATTCACATTGTGTAATAAAAAAATTCTGATTGGCTACCTTCAACATTCGGACACTTATGTAAGTTGAGGCACAGGCAGCAGCTCAGTTCAGTTTTTACAAGCACTATCTCTGTACTTTCGTGCGGCGATTTTGGTTGCTGTCATTATGCTGCCCACTTGGATGAAGGATCAAAGGAAAGGTTGGAATGTTCAGATCTGTGTAAGGGTGAAAATAAAAGATTCATGAAGAATGAGGTTCTATGGTGCTGTGTCCCCGTTTAAGTAGGTAGATAAACACGCAGTGAACTAAGCAGTACGTTCATTGTAGGGGGCACACATGCAACCGATCCATGGACCGGTGAGCAAGCGGGAACGGGCAACACGTAGGAAGGCAGGCAGACAGGCCAACACTAGCTTAAGCGTCACACAACATCCGTATGCCGTCAAGCCGATATGCAAACAGTCAACAAATCACTCAGCCAGGACAGTTCAATACTAACATTCAATTGGCTGGAATCGATCGATGCTGTGTTTAAGTTATTCCGCGTGGCGTGAGTGCCTGCGTGTGTGGTAGCTGACACCATATGTCAACCATGCTTATCTCAAACTCTCACACTCTTGCATAAGTCTACTCAAAATCTGCACGCAACACTACTCATCCCCACACCTTCCTCCTTTTTTCCACTTTGTCCCATCTGGAATTTTTCCTCTAATGTAGGTTCATGTAGCTCGCCACTATCCTCCTTGACATCTATCTCAGCAATGCCTTATCATTCTGAGCCG